TTTTATTTAAAACTGTAATTTGTTTAAAAAAGTTCCAAATATGAAGCATTGAAACTATATTAAGTAATAAAAAAATTATCATACAGTTCATTTAAAATCAAGTATAATTTTAAATGAAACATATTAATACATGTGAGAGCTATGTCTTTAATTTTTAATGACGTAATTATTAAGTGATAATGATAAATTTAAATTTATTTATATTAAGAGATAAATTAGTTAACTGATTAATTAAAAAATAAAAAATGAGAATTTTAATTAAAATAATTAAAATTAAGAGCTATGTCTTTGATTTTGTTATGAAAACGAGAAAGCCCACAGCTTAAAAGGCCTAAAACGCCTCATTTTCCCATTTCCAAACCGATCGCGTCTGAGGATCACACACATCTGGTGTCCGGCCCACTTGGGCTAGTAATTACTACACGAGATCGACTCCGTCGGGCACGTGCCAAAACCAGCAAAACCTAACATTCAACTACATATCCTTCAATTCTCTTTTTTCGGTCTTAAATATCTCTCTAATTTTTCCTTTAGCTTTCCTTGTCTATGGCTTCTTCTCTCGTCTGCAATTCCCTTCTCCGTCTCCAAGCTTTAACTCACTGTTTTTCTCTTCTCCACCCTTTCCAGTTTCCAATTCATCGTAGGAGAAGAAAAAGCTGTCCGTGCTTTGAGGTTTTTGGAGTGTCTGCCAACGGAACTGTTGTGTAAGAGAGAGATATGGGGATGGTGGCGGCAGAGGTGTAATTTCGATTGAATTGTCAAAAGATGGACTCACGTTCGGATCATTCAGTTACATTCTTTAGTTTTCTCGACCGAATGCGTCATCCTGCTTCGCTCGATCTCGTTCGATCTATCAAGAGGTTTAATTCCCTCTATCGTGTTGATTATATGTTTATGTTTCGATATGTGTGGCTGTGTTCTTATTTAGGCATATGAAAACCTAACTCGTGAGTTCGTGCATTCGATTCTGGAATTTGTTTGTTTGCCGGTAAAGTATTGAAGAAAAACTATTCGATCTCGAAATTCGTGGTTGCTTAATTTCCAAATTTCTGTCAAATCAGATATTAGGAATCTATTTATATTTATAGCTTGATTAGTTTGGAAAACTTGAGAGAAAAAGAAATATCTAAACTGTTGAGATGCGACGGAAGAAGTTCTATGCTTATGTTTACTTTGAAGTTTTTACGAAATTGTGGCTGTGAAATTTTAATAGCGAAACACGAGGAGTTCACTTGTAATTGTTCAGCAATGGAATTGTTTTTGTTCTGGAATTACTTACTCTTTGTGCACTTTTAAGCATCACAAATATTTAAGTATCACTAGCTTAAAAGATAAAGTTGGATTTCAGCTTCCTGGTATCATTTTCGTTCTACACCTCCAACGCTGAAAATGATAGCAAAAAGGTACAAGAATTCTTCTCGAGGATGGAGACTGCTATTAGGGATCATCCATTATGGGCCAACGCATCTGAAGACGATATTGACTGTGCATTGGAGGTGATTCTTTTTCATATCCCAAGTGCCCTATGTTTCTGCATTTTGACTTCTGTCTTGCTGATCAAGTTTTGGAGTTTGGTTTGTGAACTGTGTTAAGAATTTCATAATTTTGCCAAAGTTATGTGTTGTTGTTAATGGAGGCTTTTATTATTTTGAAAATACATCCCAATTTGTCTCCGGATTTCTTTTGCTGATGCTCAAAGTAAAAATTTTTTTTATGGTGAAGTAAGCCTTTTATTATTTCATTTTAAACACAAGTATATCCGTCATAACTATCACTTTTTCCACTTAGGTAGCCCAGGGTCTGGAGAAAGGAACAAATGATTTCTATGAAATATTGCTTACGAAAAGTTTGTTTACTGCTGGATTAAATACATAGAGTAAATTTACATTGTTTCTGAGTTTAATTAAGAATGGCATTTGTTTTATTTAAAAAAAATTTAAGAATGGTATTTGTTGGGAGAGGAATATGCTTCAGTAGCCATCTAGCCCAAAGTGCATTAAAGTTTTATTTTCCTGAGGGTTCTTTGACTAATAGATTATGAAGTTATATTTTTTATTTGCTGTTAAGGGATAACACAGGAATTGAAAGGTAAATTTGGTTATGGCAGCTTACTTCACAAAATTTGTTACTGCAGCTCCAACAATAACTCTTTATTCCCAATTCTTCCTAGGCTGCTGGATGTGAAAGAATTCCAGCTTATGAGATCTTTGGTGTTTATGTTCTTAAGAGTTTGTAGAAGCATGCCATTTGATGATTTGAACTTAATAATTTATATCTTTACAGTTCATGATTGCGTTATCTAATGCCATGTGTATATGATGGAGTATCTAGGTATAGGTTATGGAGTCTACTTTGAGAAATTCATGTGGCATGTATTTTTACATTAGAGTATGGATGATATATACTGCAGGGTTTAGAGAAGTATGTCATGACAAAATTAATTTCCCGGACATTAGCATCCTCTCCTGAGGATGTTAAGATTGATGAGGAGATCTCAGACAAAATATGCATGTTGCAAGCATTTTTAAGGCCAGAGCATCTGGATATACCGACCGTGCTTCAGAATGAAGCTTCATGGCTGGTATGCACATTAACCCTATGTTGAGTGGTTGGGACTCTTGTTAATCTTCATCAAGGAGATATTCTTTTTACTTTGAACTTGGTTATGAACAGAATTTTGCTTAGGAGTTTGAGGTGAGAAATGCCAATTGGTTTGCTAATTAACAGTGTATTGTGTTGTAATGCAGTAAAGCTCAAACAAATCTCAGAAATTGTTGTTACAGAACTTATGTTGCTAACTAAATGAGGATAAAGCATCCTTTAGCGAAAATTCATTTTGGTCTAAACTTCTACAACTATGTCATTATGTTCTTGAGTGATTTAAGTGAGGTTCTGGATTTTTTTGTTATCTAGTTTTCATTTTTCTATAAATGATTTAGTGTTCATTGTTATGTTGCTTCGTGTAGTTCCTTTCTAGCATTTCCCTTGTGTTCTATTTCAAATATATTGTTCGATTTTTCTGGTTCAAAGGTAATGTTTTAAGGAGTAGACTTGGCTCTCCCCTTTTTTCCCAGCTTGCAGTGAAAGAACTGAAGAAGATCAATGCATTCAAAGCTCCTCGTGAGAAGCTCTTCTGTATCATGAATTGTTGCAAGGTCATCAACAATTTGTTGCTAAATGCATCAGCCTCAGGAAACTGTGTCCTGGCAGGGGCTGACAATTTTCTTCCTGTTCTTATATATGTTACGATCAAGGCAAGCTCTCCTTGGTAATAAGTCGTTCTGCCTATCATTTCATAATTTTTTAATTTTGTCTTCTGTAGTTTGCGGTGTGATTATGACTGTAAGTTGTCCTACGACTGTTTACAACACTATTTGAATGGACCTATCTACTTAACTTCTCTTTATGCTCCAACTCAAACAAATGCTATAATTTCCTTGCTCAACTTATCCAAAAGTTTTGCTACCATAATTCATTCAACATTAAAAAATAACTACAGCTGGAACTAGTAAAAAATTGCCTAAATTGAGCCCAAATAAATGATACCTTAATATACATGAATCTTCACTATCATATAAAATTAGTTACATTTTATTTTTGAGTTAATTATGTTTGCTTTCAGGTTTATTTCCTCCAACTGGGAGATAACAATTTTTTTTTTTAAATACTTATAAAATAGAGGATTTTTCTGACATATAGATTAGTATTAGGATACGGACTATGGAGTTTGTTTTTCAATTGCTTATGAAATGGCTCCTTCAAATTTAAAATCTTAATTTAGTTTACTGTCGTAAATTGTTAAGCAAGTTTTAAATCCTTTATTAACTGTGATAACCCATTTTGGTTTTGAAAAAAATAATTATATCGTTTATTTTGAAGGTCGTTTTGAAATTTTCAGCTGTTGTAGATTTTCTTTTTATAGACAATCAATCCTCAATTGGTAACTAAACTCCTACAGAGTGTTTCAATAGAAGGATCCTTCTGTACCATTTTTTTCACGAAATCTTTAAAATTTTCTTCTGTTCACTTTATTGCACTTAAGACTTGAAAAGAGCTTATTCAGATGCTTGATGAGGAAGGAAAACTTAGTTTTGATGTCAGATAAAGTTAATAGCTAAAGCATTGATTGATTGAAGGTGTTGTTTGATAAGGAAATAGAGATATTTGCAGATAGAAGAAAAGAGTCAAGGTGTTCTTAGTTTCGTAAGGGAAGATAAAACTGTCCTCTGATAGCCTAGAAAATATACTGTTAAAGAGTAATAAAATGAAACAGATTGATTAAGCTTAATGTTCACTTTGAAGTTTATCTCAAAGTTTGCTGCTGAGAGTTAATGATGAAATAGGTTATTTCCATCATAGGTAATTAAACACTGACCAGTGTTAGATAGTGAAGAATCTTAAAGTTATAACAGCAAGTACTTTATTGACATCAATGACGTCAACCTAGCAATTCAATTAGTTTAAGCAAATCGTTGATGAATGGGTAATAAATCATATTATCTACACTTTTATCATAGATTAGCGGCTGATAATCTGTCTTGTTAGATGACTGTAGATGACGGTAGTAATTGGAAATCTCTTTGCTTGGTTTCTTGAGAGGCAATCAGCAAGTTGTGTCTATAAACTTTTACACAACAAGATGTGCTTTGTAGGATCAAGATTTTTTGTGAACAGCAAGGAGATATTTTCTTAACCACTTTAGCACTTCATCTGAACTCATTCAAGCTTTGGTTTCAAGAATGATCATATTCTTTGAAGTTGCCAGACCAAATTGTTCCATAATTCGTAACACATGAACATATGATGTTCATGAACTTAGTTATCTGTAAACGATTAGTGTTTATTGTTTCTTATAGTAAAAAAATTGTAATTGCTGCACTGACTTGCATTAGAAATAATATTTAGTAATTCTTAAAGAATGAGAGAAACTCTATTAAGTTATAATTAGTAAACTACACTCTGAGTTATATATGGAAGCTTTTAAAGAATGAAAGTTGGATAAACATTACTGTAAATTATAAATTTCCTTTTCTGGCTGGTCTATATGAGATTGAGCGCATTTAATGAAAGATCTTCTGCGCTTCACCGTGTGATCTTGAATTTACATGAAGCAATGACAAATGATAATTTATTAATTCAGCTTTCCCTTGAATTGACATAAGTTTTTCTTTGTTATAGATTGGCCACATCTTTGTGTGCTCTGGCCAGTTTGAACTGCATTCAGCTTCCAAAACTTGTTTTTGGACTTTGACATTATTAATTTATACAATCTAGAATCTCATTATTGATATTTATTATTATTGTTGCTAGTTTACATTTATTAAAATTCTGCTTGAGGAAGTTTTGGATTGACCTTAGATATTTAAAGAGGAAAGATCTTCATTAGATAGAACTTGTAGGAGGAAGGATCTATTATTTGTTGATTGTATGATGTGATGATTGAATTAGTTCTCTGTATGTGAATAGTATATATTTGCCTTGTAATTGGCAGGCTAATCCTCCACAGTTGCATTCCAATCTCAAATTCATCCAGTTATACAGGAGGCATGCAAAACTTGTCTCTGAAGCTTCCTATTATCTCACTAGTCTTGTCTCAGCCAAGACTTTTGTTGTTGACTTAAGTGCAAAGTCTCTTTCCATTGAGGAGGTTGAATATGAGGAAACGATGCAAGCAGCAAGACTGACCAACAAATCCACTCATTTAGACCCCTCTCTTGTCTTTGATGACACCAAGAGAATGCCAGATCATGGCACAACAACAACACACTTTGAAGACACCAATAGAAGTGGTAAGTGAGATGTGATTCTTTTTTAATATGATTATCTCTTAATATTATTGAGGAGCTTGAATTTGAGGAAAGCATACGAGCAGCAAAACTGACCGTCAAATTTACTCAATCAGAGCCTTCTCCTGTCTTAGACACCAAGGGAATGCCAGATCATTGCACGACAACAACACATGCTGAAGACACCAATAGAAGTGGTAATTGAGATGTATTTCTTTTTCATTATAGTGGCCATGTATTCTGTCCTAGATTCAAGCTGCTTAACATTATTAGAACACCTGAATCCATTACTAAAGACATACAATTATTAGGTCCTAAGTTTCATAATCAGTTGGCTATCTGTTTTTCTCACTGTTTATTGTCTGATAATTTATAAAGTTACTGAGTTCAGTGAATTATTAGCCAACATAACTATATCTGAAAATGTCATTGAATATAAGCAGGGTTAAACTATCCATTCATGGAAGCCGAGGCTGGAGAACTGACAGTTGGAGATGTGGAAAGATTGCTCGCACTGTACAAGGAAGTTGTCACAAAGTACAGTAGCCTGTGCAACAATGTCGGATATTTTTCTATTTCAAGGAGACGTCCACTACTGCATGAATTGACCAGGGATTCATCGATACTTGCTGACAAAAAATATTCCAGTAGTGCTGTCAGTAAAGAAAGAGGTAACCTATTGTTCATTTATCTTTACATGAGTTTCTGGAATCAGAACAGTGTCTTTATGCTTATCTATTCTCAGGAAATGAGACAGAAAATAAGAAAGGAAGTCATGTTTCTTTTTCTTTTTCATTTAATTACTTGAATTTTATATACAGACCATAACTGTTGGAGGAATAAGGATTTACTCCCAAAAAAGGCAGGGGGAAGGTATACCTCTCCTGCACCTTGATTAAAAGCATGTACATTTTGCTAGGAAATATACAATCAGCTAACATCAAATGTTACAGACAAACTAATTCCTGATCCCACTCTACCAGTAGCCACTGTTTGATCTCTGCAAGTAATGCCAGTTAGAGTAGCCCTGTCAACTCCATTCCCAAAATCAATAGCTTTAGATTTCTTGCGGTATCTGTTTACCTTGCGGTATATTATGTTTTCCTTGCAATATGTGTTCATGCATCTACTGCAAACAAATGTTCAGAAGGCCATCATACTTCTCAATCCCGGCACATCGGGTGTGCTGCCAAACACCACATGTATCACATGCCAACATTCTCTCACCATCATCATCTTTAGCCCCACACATGCAATCAACTGTCCAGTTCTCTGTTCCTCTCTCCATCTATAACGAAGAAGCCCATGTTTTGATGAACATCTACCTTTAATTTGGATTGACCCACTTAAACCAAACAGAAATTTCAGAGTAAAGGAATCATCCAAGCATCCATATTCTGGTAGTCCCTCAACTTCAAGCCTCTTGAACATAGCATATACTTCCTGAAAAGCTTTAGTAACTTCAGTTTTGAGGTCAGCCACAGTTGCATTCAGAGGGAGGACTATTAGCTCTGCTGGTGGGGCTGGGTCCTCTTTTGGTTGATCAGAAAGCTCCAGCTTACACCAGATGTGGATGGCGAAGGGATTGTCTTTGATTGAATTGTAATCCTTCACAAATTGTTTGCAATCAAGTAGTCTAGTAGCCGAGTCAATCATTGTTTCCCTTGTTGCTTGAGGTTGATGATTCAACTTGCTTTCAGGATGGAGCAAGGAGTCAAATAAATATTTTAGGTCATGTTTGATTTGCTCTTGCGATGGATAGCTTGAGCCCATGCCAGATCCACAATTCACAAAAGTCTGTAGCCTGTATTTTGTTATAGAGAAAAGATTTATCCATAGTCAGTCTCATGAAAATGGCAAAAGGAATGAGTAAGAAAACAGTACAAGCATTGCTTCCCTTACCTGAACTCAAAATCACTAGACTTTGGATTATATTGAGCTTGTACCACCATCCCATTGACTACAATTCCTTGTAGATGTTTGAGGCAGTAATCAATGAGCTCTGAAGAGGCTGTCTTACACATGACGCCCTTTAAAGAACGTCGAGTTATCCATCTAGCCTCATCAACTGTTGCTGCTAATATCTTGATAATTGCTTGTTGAACATGCTCAACATCATCCCTTGTCCACATGCATAGTACATTTGAAGTAGATGGAAGCTTCTTAATTGTTTTAGACAAAGAACATTTGTTGGTTTCATGGATAAGCTCTAATAAAAATGAGAACAAATCCTTCACTGTCAGAAGCTCTGAACTGGATAATGATTGGTAAAATGATATAATGTTCTGAAGCCTAGTTCGAGGCTGTCTTCCATGGAACAGCAAAGGTGAAATCGGCATGCTTGATAGGGTATTTACTGCATCCTGGTAAGCATCATGAGTGAGGGCATAGCTACCTGATTTAAACTCATAGCCCCACTCGCCGTACCAGGAATGGCCTTTCGTGACTGCATGAAGTAACCTGTACTCCACTCCATATTTCCTCGACACATCCATCACGGTTACCTTTCTGTCCAAGATGAATAAAACTGTTATTTTCCAAAATACTAATCCATTCTTATGCAATTCTCATGGTCATCTAAAAGTTTATTAGACTAAAGATTTCTGTTTGAACTATTTGATTTTGTAATTATTATTCCCAGGATCTAACAAAAACCTATGCATTGTACTAACAGGAAGAAAGGAGGAGAATATGAGTTGTAAGTTGGGAGAAGAGGCAGCAACAGTCAGCGAACAATCAACAAGCAAAATGGAGGAAGAACCGCCCAACATTTGAGCATATTGATTTTCTTTATGATTCTTTCTATAGAATTCTACTTTACAACGGAATCACATAATTATATATGTACATTGTAAGAATTTTGTAAGAATTTTATTTGTCGGAAGGGGGAAAGTATATTATAGGAGAAAAAACATAGTTCTTTTCAAAAGAAATCACCTGACGGCTAGTCTTTTACAGAGCCTATCCCAGAAGTCCATAATGTGGCGTCCAGAGAGCAAGTTGGAACCACCTTCTCTGCCATTGACGGTCAAAAGATGGCCGAAGCCATTGGAGTGAACAACAGCATGCAGGAGATGAGTATTGTCTTCAAATTGCGAATACACCCAGTCCTCCAACACATCAGCACCAATCTCAGAGTTGCACAAGGTGCAACTTTGAAATCAAAATAATTATGAAAGGTTAGAAAATTATTACGGAGAGATAGAATTCTTGAGACTATAATTTTCCTGAGAATGATCTCTACTCACCTAAGGTCGGATAAAAGAAGAATGCTTCCACATTGTGAACAAGATTTCCGCAGCCTATCTACGCCCTCACCGCTGTCTGACCTTATAATAAAATGGTACCGCTTTCTGCACACTGGATGCCCGCTCCACCCTTTTTTCCAAACAAACACGACACAGGTTAGCATTTCCCCAAATTTTAAATTTAACAGTAAATTAATTATAAAACCACATTATAGCAGCTAGAGCAGCTTATTCAGCTCCGTGCTTCATCTTCGCCGAATTCGGATTATAAATAAATAAATAAATAAATCCTGTGTTCTCATGTTCGTTGTTGATAAAAAGGAGGTCGATAGTACTTAAGGCGACTATTTACGCGGTCTCCGACCGATCGGAGAAGGGTAAGTCGACTCACCAACGACTTGGCATTGATCGCAATAGACGGATCTGGCAGATCTGGTTACATCCTCCTCGAGGACATCAAGCGCGACGACACGGGAAGAAAAATCGGGACCATCAGTGAGATCGCCGACCCGGAAGAGGATCTGCCAGGATACGAGAGAGGAGAAGAGAGAGGATGAAGGGAACGTGACGCGCGCGTGACTGGAGAGAAAGTTCCGCACCTCATCTCGGAAGGGTTTTGCGGCTCCCTCTCCGGCGGCGTCGCCGGGGAAGGTTAGAAGATCGTAAAGATCGGCGGTGATCCTGCTGCTCCTCTTCGCCCTCTTCACCGCCCTGTTATCCACCATCGCTACCACCATTATCTCCCTCGGTAAGTCTATTAGATTTCTCAACGCTAGATAAATAAGGCTGTGACTTTTTTATAAATAGATTCAATTGGAAGAATAGATTAATTGGAGAAAATCTACACTAGAGGAGAGAGTCCTAAGTGCGCAGAGAGATACTTGGAGGGTTAGTTTAAGAGTTGGGAAG